CACATATGAAGTTTAGTGGCAATAAGGGAACAAAGGAAAAGCAAAAACCTCTCAATCCTATGTACAATCAAAGTCCGTCCATGAGGTCACACTGTCTTGCAAATTAATTTCAGAGATAAGAACATCAGTGAAAGTTACAAATATGAAGGGTGCTGCTGACTTACTCACCTAATAGCTCCTAGAATGTCAGCTATCATTCCTATTTGGGCAGATTGGTACCTGATTCTCCTATACCCCTCCCTCCCACACCACCCCACACCTTGGATTTACAACTTCACTCACTGTGACGTAGCGGGCAAGTGCATTTCCTTACTGTGATTATGCTCCATATACTTGGTCAGTGGTCTCTTTTTACACTGTTTATGACGCTATTATACACATTTTATTCTCTTTTCAGTTTCCAGGAATGTTCTGTTATAATAATCAACTAACATACGCAACTTCAGTGAGCCTTGTTGCTGATGATACATTGCAAATATATCACAACGTTTCTTTGGTCCATGTGACTATTCCTCAGGACAGTAACGGGAGATATACCATCACATTGTCAGATTTGTTGTAAAAGATGCATGCGATAAAGTATCGTCTCCCTGCAGGCAGTAGGCATCACACAAAACACAGTCTGTCTGGTAAGATGAAAGCAAATTATAAGGGAAAGAGAGACACAAAAACCCACTGTACCAAGGAGCAATGCAGTCTTCTTTCACAATGTGGAAAAACACATCAAGAATAAAATATTTATGTGAACGTACTTTTGAACGTGAAATCCACTTCATGACTTAAGCGTTTATGGCTTTCCTGATATTTATCTTGAAAGTTGTTCTTTTACATTTCAACAGTTTGTTTAAACCGTTGAGGAGTAATGGCTCAGTGAAGTTATCCAGTGAACAGATAAAACAGATTAGAAATAATAAAACAGGTTTAAATCCTGGCCTGCGCTATTAGTTCAGATGGTGTGGCAGAAGTCTCTGTTAAAGCTCTTAGTGATATTGAGTTAGAGAGGGGGAATCTATTGAAAATTCTACTCCTCAAGGCTATGCAATAACTGCTGTTCATGCCTGGAGCAACTTGACTGAAAGATTTTTACATATTTCTGACAGTTACTGCTAAAGTTTAATTGTATTTGCCTCAAACCTGTCCATGCTTGTGTGCTGTTTTGATTAACACAATGGGCCAACTGAGGAACATATTTGAAAATATAACTTGACTTTTAAAGATTTACCCACTTGCTGCTCTGCCCAGGACTCTAAGAAACTACAGAAGGTGGTGTTCAGAGCCCAGACAATCATGGAAGTCAACGTTCCATCCATGGTCTCCATTTACACGGCCTGCTGCCATGAAAAGGCGACCAACATCATCAAAGACCCATCACACCCTGGTATTAACCTCCTACAACCTCTTCTGTCAGGCAGAAGAGACAGAAGCCTGAACACATGCACAAGCGGGTTCAGAAACAGCTTCTTTCTGGCCATTATCAAACTGTTGAATGGGCTCTAGCCTCAAATAATGTAACCTGCAGCATAACCTGTATGCCTCTAAGTCTTTTTGATTTGTACATCCTTTGCTTGCTGTGATCTGCCTGTACCACTCATAAACAAAACTTGTCACTGTAATTCAGAACATGTGATATTAAAACTAATCCAATTTGAAAATCAAATATACTGACCACCAAAAATTGATTATTTAAGCAGATTAAAAACTTTCAAGTTTGACCTCATTTTGTCCATGAGACTCACTTCCTGATCCTATTTCCACTAAACTGCTGATCCACCAACCCTGTCCCAGTATTCGTCACTAATGAAAACTGTTTTCTCCCTTCAGGTGTTGTCCCTCTCTCTTTTAAGTCTACTGCTACCACCCACCTCCATAAAAAAAAATCCTTGACCCCACAATCCTTGAAAATTATTGTTTCATCTCTAAACTCCCTTTCCTTTCCAATGACCTTGAATATTTTCTGCCCTCCAAATGCATTCTCATATTTCTTGCAGCTGCATGATTCATTTGAATCATTTCAATCAGTTTTCCACCGCGGTCACAGTGATAATATTCCCACCATCAAAAGCACAAATATTGTCCTACGTAACGTGATAAAAGTAAACTTTCTGTCCTAATCCTTCATAGTCTGTCTGCCTTTGGCACAGTAAACAGCAACACTCTCCTCCAATCCCTCTTCACCTTTTTTTATAACCATCACCTAATAATCCAATCACCAAATTAAACATAAGACTTGCAATGGCCACCAAGGCAGTGTAACAATAACAAAAAGAAAGGGTAGGGAGGGGACTGGATTAAAATAATGTTCAATGGGGATATAATGCACTCCAGCCCATGTGCCCAACTCTCTTGAAAAGCTCTGAGCTTACTGATGGACGCCATTGCTCCCTTTTGAACGTCATCTGGACACAAATGTAGCTGTGGAACAGAAACAGGCAGTCTAGATATATGACCCTCTCCATGCTGCACTGTCTCCACAAGGAGGTCCTCCAACCTGCGTGCCTCCCTTGAAACCGGATGCCCTAACATCAGTAGTGTGGAGCTGAAATGAACGCTAACAGGTTGATTAAAAATATCAACAGGAATGCAATCTTTCTGTATCCACCACCTCAAAGTATGATTGCATGGGATTGCTGCATACAACACCCTGTACCCCAGATTCCCAGTGGAAAGCAGGAGGACACCCTCATAGAGATCCCTCCACCCTCTTCATTGTTAGATATTTTCTTGATCAAACAGTTCAGAGGTACTATGACACACGTCTGGACCAGATGGGACTTGAATGTGGGCTACCTAGCTCAGAGGTAGGGGCACTACCTTGCCACAAATGCCCTTCATCCCTCTTCACTGTGTTATTTACCTTTTCTGATATCCAGCAGCGTTATCACACATGACTGAATGACTTACCTTCCATCACCAAATCACCCGTGGTATTTATCATCCATTAACCATGTTCTCATTGAGTAATTCACATGCAAAGCCCATTAAGAGCAATTCAATGGCACCAAAGTGAGACAAAGAGGCAGGGAGAGGGAGGGTATCAAATCAAAATGAAATTGAAGGGGTCCCTCTTCGCCAATTCTTTTCTTCATTTTTTACATCCAGAAGTACTCTTGCACACAACTAAGTGCTTTCTATTTCCCTATCACCCACGATATTTTTTCACCCATTAACCACTTCATTAAATCACTTCATTAAATAAAAATGGAGTTAGAAGGTGGGGAGAGAGGAAGGGGGATTAAATCAAAATAGAGTTGAAGGGGGCTGTGTCTGAGTGGGGTGCTCTTTGGAGGGTCAGTACAGACTCAATGGGCTGAATGGCTGCAGGGGTTCAATGATTTTAGGGAGACCTTCTTCACTGTTTTTTATTACAATATCCAGGCAACTGAACCTTTGTATTCCCATCACCAAATCACCCATGGTATTTTTTTAAAATCTATTAACTGCCAGCAGACCATCAAAGGTGAGGGAGAGGCAGGGAGAGGGGGAGAAGGCTAATTCAAAATGGAATTGGAAGGACAGATAAAGCACTCTGCCCGCTGTGGTGCCCACTTCTATCTCTGAAGGCATCGAATATACTGGTCCAGAGGTAGAGACACTACCGCTACACCACAAGTGCCCTCCATCCCTCTTCACTGTTTGTGAGCCACTGGGCCACCATGCTGCCCCTCTTCTCTAAAGTCAGCCCATTGTTCGGTTATAATTCTGTCTACTAATCTTTGAGTTGGATTAATTTGGGTTGGCTCCAGTCTTACACCATTGAAGTTAGCTTTCCCAGCTTATTTACTCTTACTTTGGCTTGTTACTTGTCCTGTTACATAGCTAACCCAAACTTAATGATACAATGATTATTAACTCCTAATTGTTGTCCTACTTAAATTTGATCCACTTGCCCACCAAAGTCCCAAGAAATGGGTTTAGCAACACCCCTTTTCCTATTGTGCTGGGAAATAATGCTGCAGAAAATTATGATGAATGCGTTGTAGGAACTCTGATCCCTCGCTTCCCTTCAATTATCCAAATATAGACTGGAACTATAGTAGTAGTGGAAAGCTCCCTTTTATAATCGTTGCACTTCTTTAACTTCCTTGCAACCATGCTCATTTCCATCTTTCCCAATTGTTGGCAGAATACAGTGTACATTGCGCAATGTAATTTCATTCTTTTTTTCTTAGCTTCAGCCAAATAGATTATGTCCTTGATCCCTCTGGGATACCCTCTTTCTTCAAAACATTAACACTCTCTTTAAATCCATAAAGCCACTTATCCTTTCCAGCTTTTCCTAAACACCTTGTATCCAAGAATATTAAATACCCAAACCTGCCCTTGTTTAGATTATTTGATGATCTTTGCCAGTTCCTGAATTGCTTAATGAAAATAATCTTTAACTGGATTGGACTGAAATTAATTTGGGCTGAAGCTTCTTTTCACAATTAATCAGTTACCAAATACATAGTGCAACATACAGTTTATTGATCTTTGATACATTCGTGATGACCTGTGCTGTTGCATCTTTGAATCTTGGAGATGGTGGGCTTAGAGTGCGAAGGGATTTTATTTGGGTGGGATGATGGAGTAACAAAACCTGCCACCTTCTCACTCCTGCCAGGTTAATTTTTGAGCAGGAAGGCCCACAGCTAACCTACCTGACCTGCTGCCACTTGAAACACTAAAGTCGCCAATTAAGGACGATTTAAGTGCCTCGCCTGCTGCAGCTGGAATTAAGCCAACTGCAGATGGCTCAGTTGCCCAGGCAGTGGGCCCAACAGGTCATGCTGTACAGGACTACTTCTCACCGCAATGGAGCAGCAAAATCAGTCACTCAAAGGTAATCTGTGCCTGAATGATGTATTGGACCATCAGCTAGGGTGTGTCTCATAGAATCCCTACAGTGTGGAAACAGGTCCTTCGGCCAAACAAGTCCACACCGACCCTCAGAGCTTCCCACCCAGACCCATCCCCATCCCCATTCCCCCATGACTCACCCAATCTACACATCACTGAACACGATGGGCAATTTAGCACATCTAATCCACCTAACATCTTTGGACTGTGGGAGGAAACCAGAGCACCCAGAGAAAACTGGTTGGTAAAACTAGCCCTGCAATTTTATTCAGGGTATATTGGGTGATGTGCATTGAGCACTAATTTTTGCAAAACACATATTGCATCTAAGTTGAAAACACTGCCAAGAAGTAAATGCGATCCTTGGACTTCATAAACAGAGACCTATTGTTCAAAAGCAAGGAAGATATGCTTCACTAAAATCAGAAAATTATTATCAGATCTGAGAGCATCTGCAGAAAGAGAAACAGAGTTAATAATTTGGGTTGATGAACTAATCACCTGATGAAAAGCCATTAATCTAAAATATGAACTTTGATTTTCTATCCCTGAGGATATTCCCAGACCTGTAGAGTTTTTCCAGCATTTTCTGGATTTATTTTAGACTTTCCAACATTAGTAATATTTTGTTAAAGAAAGAAATGTGTGCTGCCAAAAATGCCTTAATGGTTCAAAACATTATACAGCCATTACAAGCACTTTAAAATCATCAGGGGCAATTTAGCAGAAGAGTTTAAAATAATGAAAGGTTTGATGGAAAAAGTTAAGGCAGTTTCTAATAGCAAGAGGGTCAGAAACCAGAAGACAGAGATTCAAGGTGAGTTGCAGAAGAACCATGGATGATTTTTTTTCCACACAAGTTGTATTCACCAGAAAAAAAAGAGTTGGAAGTAAAATCAATGGTAACTTCTGGCTAATTGTATCGCTCTTTCAAACAGCACAAACATAATGAACCAAATGGGCCTCTTTCGTGCTGTAGGATTCTTTCTGTTGCTAAGATGGAACTATTGAAGTTTCCCTGTATCTGTGAGAGAATAAAATCTATTTTCAGTAACTATACAGAATCTGAAGTCAATCAGTTAAGTTGCCGCTTTGTGAAAGAAATTTACAGATCTGAAGATGATTGTAAATGATTGTAAATGTTTTGTTCCACATCAAAGAAAAACAGCACAAAACTACTTTTTGTCATACTTGAAATATGACAGATGTTTGGAACACAGTTATGTGGATAGATACGTAGTTAAATAGATATGTACACATTCTGTGGGAATTTGGCAATATATTTGCTTAAAGTACATTGAAATTGCAAATTTGTGTGTCGAAATACTGCACATTAAATTTCCTTGGGATAAAAGCCCACACTATCCAGAAAGATTTCAGGGGTAAGGTTTTGAAGTTGGATCAACATTGAAGCGATGGTGCACTTTGTAACAAAAAATTATTCTACTACTTTGTATATAGCCAATCCTGAAAAATTAGTGTGAAAATGTGCATTATATAAACAGCCACCATTTATGTACACAGTAGAAATATTTCTCTAAAATGATCAACTTTGTAAGTTGCTTGAAAGTACCATTTATATTCCATTGTATTCCCTCCAGTCCAGGAATCTATTATTTGGAATCACCAGTTGTCTGCAAATTTTTTGAGCAGACCCAAATATTCTCTCAAGGTCAGTGTATCATTTAGTACCATATTGTGGAAGTGGAAGCATGGAAATTGTAACATTTGGATAAGTAAATTTTTTAATGTAATGGTTATTGATGCTTTATGTTTCAAGTCACTATTTATATCTAGAGTTTTTTTTTCTGATTCACAAGCTTGTGTTTAGTCATTCCCATAATCCAGAAAATTCCAACATTCGGAACTGAATGGTCTCAAGTATTCTGGACTGGTGAGGTTACAGTATATCGTGAAAAATAAGCTTTGGAAAAATGCAATGAAAGAAAGAGTTAGGCACATAGATTTAGTTTAATGGACTAGTTTGGACACAAAGCAAACCAAGTGTGGTAATATTTCTCCAAAAATGTCAGACTGGATAGGGGCAGCACTCTTTCTTCAGATAAAGATTTGTGGCTTTCAGCCCCGTTCCAGAGACTTGGGCCTATAAATTTTGCCTCAGGCTTCAGTGCAGTAATTAGAGATCCATATATTATCTGAGATGCTACTTCTCAGATGAGAACATAAGCTGAGATCATGTTTGCCCTTTTAAGTGGATGGAAAAGATCTCATCCCACTGTGAAGAAGGAGTTCTTGTGTGTCCTGGCCAATAGTTATCCCCAAAACAGAATCATAACACGACCCATTTTCCGGTTACTTATTTGGTCTTGGTGCACAAATTGGCTCTATTATCTTTCTTTGCTGTGAAGTGCTTTGGGATGTCTGAAAGGCATTTTATCAACATTGACACTTCCTCAAACCAACGTTACAGACACTGCTACTGCTACTTTAACGCGATTAGACCATAAACTACAAGAAACCTTTGGTCAAGCAGAGTGATCTTGTTATCACATTAACCCAGTAATAGGGCATTAGGTCATTTCCTTTTTGTTTTAACATCCACATGCAAACTTGACTATGAGCATTAATCAGCATACCGTTGTCCAAGGTCTTCCCTCCTTAAACTGATGTCCATCAGCCGATCTGACTGGAAATCCATCAGATCAGCCTCATTCAGTTGATACATGACTGACCGCGATCTGTTGGACTGGAAGCCTCCACAGTCGCCTGCTGAAACCCCAGAGCCCATGGAGCGCAATGGGCGGCGCGTGGAGTACATCCGTCTCACGTTGACTGGGGCCCGTTTCCTTCGCAGTTTTCTCAGCACTCGGGACATCCAGATTGTGAGGCCAAGGAAGACCAGGAAAGCGTTGGCAGCCGATAAAATCAAAATAAAATGCTGCACATCCAGGGCACCTTTCTTCAGAGGCAAGGTGAGGACCCCCAGGCAATGATCGCGGGAAGCTACTTGGCACACATGGTCAGAGATGACACTTTCCAGGCACACAATATAAGGAGTCTCTGCCTGCAGTTCTCTCAGAGTGACCCATTCCAATCTATCCTTGACGTAGATGAAGCGATGAAATGTCACTGATTGGCCAAACCGGTCAAAGAGCACCCGAAAATGTATAGGGTTTCTGAAACCAGGGTGTGCTACCTTCCATCTGATCGTGGCAGTGGATGAGGTAACCTCATCCACTGTTAGGTTGGTAATGTAGAGCTTGTTAAACTCACATGGATCTGTTATCAGTGGTTTCTGCACTAACTTGTCCTTAGATTTGAGGAGATAATAACGCTCTGACTTGGATGAAACCAGGACAGTTGTGTAAGGAGTAAAGACTTCTAAGGTGTCCCGTGTCACAGTCTGCGACTGCGGAGCTTCTCCAACACTTCCCAAGCTCGGACTGGTTGTAAATGTTTTGGTTGGTTTAGGTAGGAGAATGACATGCTTACTTTTAGGCAATAGGTTGGACACCGTTGTCGGTAAAGAAGGTGCTTTCTGCCGGGTGTCAGCTTCTTGTTGGCGCATGGTTCTTTCAGTCTGCGTTTTGCCTGGCTGCAGGAACCGCTCCTGATCCGACTGCACATTGACGTGCACCGGGGACAGTACAATGCCATCTGGAGCACCTTGAGAATGGTTGACCAAAGGCTGTGCCTTCTGAGAGTGACACAGGTCAGCCCTGCCAGCTGCTTGCATCTCTGAATCTGTCAAATAATCGAGATATCTTCCATTCAGCACAGGGGGATCATTACACTGAACAAAGATGGTGAGCAGCCTTCCTTGACCGTGTGCCAAGCTCATCCACCGCTTTAAACCTTTGAGGCGGCAGTTGCACGTCCAGTTATTATCACTCAGATCAAGGCTATAGAGGGAGTTGCTGAACACAAACACATCCCCAGGTAGGTAGGTCAGGTGATTGCTCTTCAGTTTTAACACCTTGAGAGCTGTTAGCTCTTTAAACGCTTGTGGGTGCACACTGCTGATATGGTTCTGGCTGAGATCTAACTGTTCCAGCTTTTGCAAAGGGTCCAGCAGTTTATCTGGGATTTCTCTCAGTAGGTTACCATTAATGAGCAGCTCCGTTAACCCACCCAGGCCTCCAAAGGCTTCGGTGGCGATATGAGAGATTTTGTTCTGGCTGAGAGACAGCCTGGAAAGTTTCTGCTGCATTTGGAACACTCGGTTTCCGATATACTTGATATTATTCTCGGCCAGGATTAAAGTGATCAGTGACCTGAGATGGGCAAACACGGCCCTGTTTTGTAAGGAAGTCTGGTTATTCTTGGCAAGGTTTAAATATGTCAACTTCCTTAAGTTTATAAAAGTATTTCCACTGATGGTGTGGATCTGGTTGGACTCCAACTGCAGGTAAAGGAGGTTCCCCAAATGTTTAAAAACCGCATCTTGCAAAATCTTCAGAGAATTGCCGTCCAGTCTGAGCCTCATTAAATTACCTAGATGTGAAAACACATTTGGATTCAACTTCTTCAGGCAATTGTTATTCATATTTAAAAGCCTCAGTCTGCGGAGATAATGGAAAGCATTGACAGGGATGATAGAGATGATGTTATTGCCCAAGTAGAGTTCCTCCAGTCTGGCAAGTTTCTCGAAAGTTTTGGGATGAATGTACTCGATCTTGTTGTACTGTAAATCCAGCCGGAGCAGCCCGGTGAAATGCGGGAAGTCCAAGTCGGAGATGTTGCTGATAAAGTTGCCCCCTAAGCTGTAAGTCAGGATGTCCGCAGCATTTTGCTGGGTTTCCGGAACCGTGCGGAGACCTCGGTTTGTACACAGCAGGTTCTGGAGCTGGCACTCACATTGCGAGGGACAGAACGATTCAGCAGAGCAGATCAAACAAAGAAATAACAGCCAGACCATCCACAAACTTTCCATCCCCAATGGTCAGCTGCCTTGGCTTTTTTTTTTATTATCCTTTGCATTCCATCTTCCTTTGCGGTGGGGGTGGGGGGTGGGGGAGCAGTTTCTAAGAGTTTTGTTTGAGACAAGAGAGCGAGCGATGGTGAGACAAGCAGACAGCTTCGTCCATCTATCCGTTGCTACATGCACGCAGAGAGAGATGAACGCACTTGGTTAACTTCTTTTGCAGACTGCATTTGGAAATACAATTAAATCCACCCCCTCCCCCTTCCCTGGTTGTGGAGACAAATCTTGGAGGCTCTTTAGCATTGTATACAAAACAGTGCCCCTAAATCGTCGAGTCTCGCAATCCTACAAGCACCCAAGACGCAAAAGGGGGAACTTTGGACAGTGGCAGATTTAGAAAATGCACTAACCTATGCCAAGAAAACAGCCGGAAATTTGTACTTCCCTGCATTTCCCTCAAGAGACTTCGGCCAAAACGCAGATGTGTTTATGCGAAGGCCGAGGAGGCAGTGGGAGGGGTATAATATCGAGATACATTGTCCAGGACACTTTCACTGCCAGTGGCTTCAAGCGATCTGCAAAACGCACAACAGGCTTCAGTCAGAGTAAATCAGTGACTTTTATTCTGCGGAAGCTCAGTTTAACACTGAAAGCCGTTATTTCATCTGATCTATTGTTACGGCCTTGGATGGAACTCCATCACTGAATTTATTTCCGAAGCCTGAAAGTTTATTTCTTTTAAAACATTGTTGGAAACTTTGGAAACAAAAGTAATTCTCCAGCTAAAGATGTGGAAATATAAATATGATGATTGAGAAAAACGTTGAATTGTTGTACATTGCAACACGCGGATGAGTACAGTTTGGAAACAAATTGCGGTGTTCTTAGATGTTAATATCAGATTGAATGTGCAGAAATTGGCGCCATTAAAAAAAACTGACTGATGGTTAAATCGTTATGCTGTAAATTAAGATATGGACTCAAGAGAATCTTCCAGACATCGTTTTGCCAAGTAGCAGACCAAAGTGCTGTCCTGAAATAAGGAATTTCTGGACGTACCAGGTTTTGACAATTCCCCTGGAAATTTCAGTCAAATGTCAATGATTTATTTATTAATATGTGGCTGATTTCACCGTTCAGGCTGTAATAAAAAAAACCCCCAAAGTTAACAGATTTAATAGTTTCCAATTATTGAAACGTTTCTACCTAAGTCTTTGTTAGTGAATTTATTTGCCTATGTATTTGCCAATGTTTTCATTGTTTGTTGGTGAATCTTGGCAAGTAGTAGTTAATCACATTTCATTCAGGGTTGCACTGCTGTCCTATTGTGAATGGTTTGGCATAGGCACTGACTTGATTTGGACTGAGATACCTGGGACATTCCAAATCAGAATGTATGTATGTTATCATTTAACAAAAGCCAAAAATAAATGGCAGTGTCCAATCTAACTTTTAATATGAGCTGTTCATCAAGTAGGAACAACTTATCTTGCCACTATTTTATTGATTACAGATTGGACATTGGAATTTCAGAAACATGCCTTCTGGTGTATGTTCAGAATTTAGTATTCCTCCATCTAAAGTATTGGTGACTTAGTTGGTTTAATTTGAGTTTTATTGCGCCAAGTTCTAAAGTGTGATTTAGCCTAAAAAGCTGCATGAATTTTGTGATGTCAGCGTCTTGTATAAGGTCAATTAGATATACTCAATATAGGAACTTTATAAAGTGTATCTCAGTGAATCTGAATCCTTTCCAAGATCACAAGGATAAACTGAAGACAGTTAATGGCCAAAAGATTTGCATTGCCTCTAGTGCACATTAAGGACAAAGAGTTTATAAGAGTCTGAATTTGTAAGAACTTGTCTATTTACTAGGGGTTAACAGCTGCAAACACAAGATTGGAATGACGTTGGAATGGAGCTGTAGAGCAAGAATCCCAGACAGTATTTATTTTTTAAAGGCAAAGTTCAACAAAAATTAAACAAAAATAATTTGACTTGAGTCTTCAATGTAGTTACCAACCATTGGTTAAACTTGAATTCATTTGATGTGGACAAAACCTCTGATGAAATGTTCCAGCTGGAAATTGTTGGTGAACTATTTGGATCCACAGTTCCCATTTTAGCATACCTATTATCCAATCAGATCCAACTGAATATACATTCAGTAGCAGGAAGCACCAACTGTCAATCTTATTTAAAGGGATCAATTACTTTCAGCTTGGTTGCTGATTGTAACTCTGGCTGTTGCTGCAATTGTATAAATGATGGCGTTTTCAAGAATTCTTTAAAGAGTCATAGAGATATACAGCACAGAAACAGACTCTTCAGTCCAACTCATCCATGCCGACCAGATATCCTGAATAAGTCCAGTCCCATTTGCCAGCATTTGCCCCATAACCATCTAAACCCTTCCTATTCATATCCCCATCCAGATGCATTTTAAACGTTGTAATTGCACCAGCCTCCACCACTTCCTCTGGAAGCTCATTCCATATACGCACCACCAGCTGCGTGAAAAAGTTGCCCTTTAGGTCCCTTTTATATCTTTCCCTTCTCACCCTAAACCTATGCCCTCTAATTTTGGAATCCCCCAACCCGGGGAAAAGACTTTTGCCTATTTCCCTTTTCCATGCCCCTCTTGACTTTATAATCCTCTATAAGGTCATCCCTCAGCTTCTGACTTTCCAGGAGCCCCAGCTTATTCAGCCTCACCCTATAGCTCAAACCCTCCAACCCTAGCAATATCCTTTCGCTATAGGGAGTGATGTGGTAGATGTTGAAGCTGTTGGGCCTGACTTCACAGCACAAACCACTGGCTCTCAGTCTTGGATACACTAGTAGCCATTCCCCCTAGAATGCAACATGACTGTAAGAGTGAACTGAGAGCCCCCATAGCACAGAATGCTGTTGGAACAGAGAGGTGAAGGACAGGGAAGGACGGTACAACTGCCAGAGTGTTTAGGGTACAATTGCTTTACTTGGAACTCAGTAAGGAACAATGTCTAAAATACAGGCTCTTCACTAAGAACTCTAACTGAAACCTGTTACCTGCAGCAGGTACAACAGCAACCCCACAGTAGAGTGGGAAGCACATTTCTAGTGGCTGTGAGGATGACTATGACAATCAACTTTCATGTATCTGAGTTCTCCCAAACTGGAGGTATTTTTATAGATTCATAGAATTCCTACAGTGTAGAAGCAGGCCATTCAGCCCATCGAGTCCACACCACCCCTCCAAAGAGCATCCCACCTAGACCCACCCCCTACCCTATCCCTGCATTTCCCACCCTAGACATTATTGGCAAGTTACCATAGTGAATCCACCTAGCCTGCACACCTTTGGACTGGTTTGCAGGTAGCTTACCATCCAACATTGCATAGAGGAGCCTGTCCCTCAAAAGGCACGACGGACATGATCTTTATTGTAACAGAAACCCAAAAAAAGTGCATAGAGCAGGTGCAACCTCAAAACGTGGCCTTCTTGAATCTCATGATGGCTTTTAACTATCAACCAGGAGGGATTACGGAGGACCTTCTTCAAATTTGGTTGACTGCAGAAATTCATCACCATGGTTTGCCTGCTGCATACCAGCATGCAAGCTTGGTTTTTCACCAATAGATGCAACGTAAACCCAATAAGTGTGCAAATAGGGTCAGGCAGGCATTTTCTCCAACCTACTCATTGGAATACTTTGCCTAAATCTACAGTTTCCAACTGATATGGAGCTAATCTACAGGACAAGCTGTTCAACCTGGGTCACCTTTGGTCCAGAATCAAGACCACTCCGTCTTCTGTCATTGAGCTATAATATGCAGACAATGCCTGCGCATGCTCACACTCAGAGGCTAAACTATCATCGATGCATTCACAGAGGCATATGACAGAATGGGCCTTAGGCTAAAGATCTAGAAGACAAAGGTCCTCTCCCAGCCTGCTCCCACAAAACTGTCACCCAACTATCAAGACCCACAATGAGCCACTGAGCAACATGTTTCAATTCTGATAGCCTCCTCACAGCAAGGGCAGACATCAAAGACAAAATTCAACTGTGTCCCCCAGTGTGCCAGCCTTTGGCCATCTAAGAAACAGAGTGCTTTATGGCCAAAACCTCAAAATTGTTACCACTCCTGGCCTGCAGTGCAGCAGTGTTACTAACTCTCCTGTATGTATCTGAGACAATGACAATCTACAGCAAACGCTTCAAACGCCTTCAGAAAGAACACTAGCAATGACTCTACAAAATTCTGCAAATTCACTCGTACAATATGTTCTTCAAAATCAGTGCCATTTCTCAGGATAACATCCCAGCACCAAGGCACTAGTTACCATCAATCAGCTACACTCAGGGAGCTATATCATCCACTTGCCTGAGACAAGATTGCCAAAATGAGCTCTCTACTCTAAACTTAGTCATTGCAAGCAGTTACCAGGAAGGCAGAGGAAATGCTTCACAGTTGTCATCATAGCCTTTCTGAAAAAATATTATGTCTCCATGGACTCATGAGTATCTTCAGCTCAATACCACCCAAATGGAAAAGAAATATTTGCCAACCATTTTGCATCTCCAACAGACCAAGGTGGTGGTCAAGCACAAACAGTGGAAGGAGAATGTGAAAACCTTGAGCATCCAATACCCCCATTTCAATAAACACCAAGTACCTCAACTGTGGAGGGTTTGTGAATCCAGCAGTAGACTGCTTACACATCTTGGGACCCTCAACTCCAGAATGGACGGAAGTCTTCATATACCTAAGGACTGCCTAAGAGAACCTAAGATTACCGAGGCCCTCTACTCCAAGAGAACTGACTATTTTTCAATCTCTGACCAGACTGCAGCAAGTGGAGTGAGCTCATGGTTTTATGGGATTGCCAGCTTTCATCATTGCTGTTTACTTGTTGTTACATTACTCTGAGGTAGCATTTCTTGAATATCTGAAAGGAGAGTGGTACAAGGATAGGGTGTTCTGGGACACAGGGTCGTGAAAGTAAGAGGTCTGTGCTTAAAATGAATCTTGTAAATTAGAAAAGATTGGAGATGAGGGGAAAGGAAAATGTGAGAAGAATTCACCTTATGAGATGGCACCAACATTTCCTATGGTTTTTACTTTACCTCTGGTCATGATTTCAGTGATGGCCATTCCAATGAAGGAGAGCATCATCTTGTTCATTGGGATATGGATATTGAAACACATCTAACCCCTACTGTGTTGTACCTTCTACCCTGAATTATGTAGTGCCTCATTCTACAAGAGGCAGGGAACCATGTTAGCGAGTAATGTTCGTAACCTTTTTGTGCATTGTGTTGGTCATGGTTGAATAGCTGCTGTTTGTGCACGCTGTGAGATATGGATATGAAGCTTGCAAAATTGTTAAGTAAAGAGGTTGATGTGAAGTTATGAATGTGAGGTAAGAGCCCTGATTGATAGACATTGTTAGCAGCTGAGTGGATGAAGTTTGGCGCATTGAGCAGTTGCTGAGGGGTGTGATAAAGCTGAAGGTGCGTTCACTGGCCTTGACCACTCATGTCAGAGCAT